GTTGAGTAGTAATAGAAACTTAAGCTACAAACGGAATATATTAAATCTATTATGTTATCTGTGAAAAATTGAGAGATGATAGTGAATGTATTAAGTTGAGCTGTTTTTGTATGTTTTTTTTACCTTGGAATGTTTGTTTACCCAAACACCACGGTGTGTCTTAAATACCTTTTGTTAAAATTAAAAAACCAATAAAATATATTCAAAAAAATATTTTCCATATGGTTAAACGTTATATTAGGAAATACAGAGAAATTAAAGGCAGGTACAAAATCACCTTAAATTAATGGCAAAAATTCAGTTACAGGTAACTGAGTTACGAATGTAATGGAGCCTGCCTGTAAGGACCCACCCCACTTTGCATCTTAAGAAGACAGAACTCTTGGAATAATTCTTCCAACAGGAATCCTTTATTAAGAGAAAATGGTTGCAGGCATTCTAGACAGGACTTGGGGTCCAAGCTTTCCCATTCAAGGTTTTAAGGGGTTTCCCAGTAGCCCCACCCAATCCCCCCTACTTCCAGCAACAGTCTCAGGCATTACATTCCCACCCCCTTTTTCCTTACTGCCGGCTGGATGGAGACTTCAGAGAAAACTACATGAAAGGTAATAGCCCCCTTTGTTATGATTAGGCCTTTTTGGTGCTATCCACATTCAATCCCTTTGAAGTTGTACCGAAGGAAGTGAGGGCCATAAAGCCCCTTTGTTCACCCCCTTCCCTTCATTGTATGACAGAATCCAGAGAAGGCAGAAATGGGGTTTTCTATAACTGATAACTAGAGATGAAATATAATTGGATTCTGACACTGCCCATTCCATTCGTAACTTGAGAATTCATGGGAGTGAATCTCATACCTTGAAAGAGATCACTCCCGGCCTTCGCCCACACATTTGCTAATTGAATGCGTCGGCGAATGCGCAGTTCGTTAAGTGCTGTTGGAATATTCATGAGCAGGAAGAGTCATGTGGTAACTCAGTCAGCCAATGGGAAGAAAGTGCTACTGAGTGTGCAAAAAGGGTATTGAGTTAGAAGCTGAATTTTCAGTCTCAGGTTTGTCTCTGTATCTCTCTGTAAGAAGTCTTCAATTGAGCTATGTTGCTGTAAAGAAAAATGTATGGTATTGTAAATATTTTGATATGAATACAAAGTTATTTTGAATCAGCTAAATGCAGTCAACTGTGAGAGCTTCTGATTTATTTTTTAACCAACAGAGAAATTAAAATTCTCTAACAAGTGCACACGAGGTATCTCAGTGTAGGGAAGGCCATGGGTGGGCTAGTGATGAAACAGGCCTCCAAGGCCTGCCCGACCCACAAGAAACCTAATGCTTCCTCCTTCCCTTCCTGCCGTGCCAGACTCACCTTGCAAAAATCTTCTCTGCGGTGGTTTCTGCCTTTGAGGGAGAGGAGAGTCAATGGAAACTGCTGGGTGCCATAAAATCATGCAAGTTCAGGCACTGATCCTCTTTTGCAGAGAATGGGTGCCTGAACTCTTGCAAGAACATGGACCCCAGAAACTGATTTTGGGGGTGAAAAATGTTTGCAGTGTCTGTCTCCTGCTCCCCACCCAATACCTTCCCGCCATTGCCAGAACACTTTTTACCCAGATGGAGACCTTGGTGAGATCAGAAGCTCCGTCTGGCTGCAAATGGGGTGCTTTGAGACGCTCTGTTTTGCAGCAATTCGAAGTGCTCCATAGGTGTTCAAACATTTTAGCTGAATGGAGACCTTAGGGAGACTGGAAACTCGATCTGGCTGCAAATGGGGCACTTTGAAATGTTCCATTCTGCTCTGTTTCAAAGCACTCTATAGGCACTCAAATACTTTTAGCCGAAGATCCTGGGGAGACTGGAAGCTCCATCTGGTTGCAAACAGGGCAGTTTGGAATGCTCCATTCTGCTCTGTTTCAAAGTGCTCCATAGGTGCTCAAACACTTTTTAGCTGGATGGAGATCTTGGGGAGAGTGGAAGCTCTATATGGCTACAAATGGGGTGCTTTGAAATGAAGCGTTTTGCTCCATTCACAAGCGTCCCATTTGCAGGCAGGCAAAGCTAAAAAGTGTTCTGGTGGTGGTATCGCAAACACTTTTCTCCTGAAAATCAAAGTTTCTGGGGTCCATGATCTCCCAAGAGTTCAGGCACCCATTTTCTGTAAGAGGGATGGGTGCCTGAACTCATGCGATATTACAGCACCTGGGAGCTTCCATCGACTCTCCTCTCCTCTTCTTCAAAGGCAAAGAAATCACATCAGAGAGGATTTTGTAAGGTGAATCTGGCATGGCAGAATAGGAGGGGGAAGCAGTTGTGGGGAACATGGGGGGATAGGGTGAATGTTGCAGAGCTTCTGCAGTTGTTCATAAAGGCGAAGAACTGCCGCGGTGCTGCAACATTCGTAATTTTGGGACACGCTTGTAAACACTAGGGGCGCTTATCGCGTAATTTCGAATGAGCACTAACTGAACACGTGTAACTCGGGGATTACCTGTATTAATTTTATATATGTTTTCTCATCCCAAATGATAAAATTGAATCCACTGACAGAGAAACAGATTTGACTAGATTTTAGAACAATTCTTAACCCTGGGTGGTGTTTTACTAAAGAAAATTTTATGAAGTGAAAGGGCTACATCTCATTAAAAGAAAATAACCAAGAAATTATTACATTTCCCTTTGCCTAGTGCATGCTCCCCAAAAGATGGAGAAAATTAATTTATGTCATTTTTATATAATCCAATTAAGTTTAACAAAAAGTAACAAAATTAAATAGCTGAATATAGGAGGAGACAAAAATATAAAAATATACAAACAAGTCATACATATATAAACAATACTTTATAGTATAAGTTCAAAAAAAACTGATTAACAAGGATTTTTTTCAAGAAAAGTGTTATTCATTGCTGACAGTAAATTCAGGCATAAATCAATTTTAGCATACTAAAACCTCAAATAATCCACATAAAATAATGATGAGAAAAGAATGCAGCTATATAATCAAGAAAATGGCTTAGTACTTTTGTAGATATAATTAATATACTTTCCACCTAGATCCAAATTACTTGGATGTATCAGTATTTGCATGTTATAGGAAATGTGTACAAAAAGGAGAACAAATGAAATAATATAATAATAATAATAATAATAATAATAATAATAATAATAATAATAATAATAGAGTTGGAAGGGACCTTGGAGATCTTCTAGTCCAACTCCCTGCTCCGGCAGGAAACCTATACCAGGGGTGTCAAACTGCTGGCCTGCGGGCTGGATGCGTCATGGTGAAACCGCGCCCACCCCATTGCCGGCAATGGAAAAAAAGTCACGATACGTCACGACACGTCACGTGACATTGCGAGTTTGACACCCCTGCCCTATACCATTTCAGACAAATGGTTGTCCAGTCTCTTCTTAAAAACTTCCAGTGATGGAGCATTCACAACTTCTGGAAGCAGGTTGTTTCATTGATTAATTGTTCTGACAGGAAATTTCTCCTTAGTTCTAGATTGCTTCTTTGATTATTTTCCATCCATTGCTTCTTGTCCTGCCCTCAGGTGCTTTGGAGAATAGCTTGATTCCCTTTTCATTGTGGCAACACCTGAGATATTGGAACACTGCTATCATGTTACCCCTTGTCCTTCTCTTCATTATATACCCAATTCCAGCAACCGTTTTTTATATATTTAAGCCTCCAGTCCCCTAATCATCCTTGTTGCTCTTCTCTGTACTCTTTCTAAAGTCTCAACATCTTTGTAAATGTAATGTAATGAGTTAAAATAATTAACTCATTAAGCACAAGAATACTAAATTCTAAAACAATATTTTAAATAATAGCTAGTTTCAGAAACAACTTTCAAGGAATGTTTTTCTCCTGCTTTACCTATTGTTTAATGAGTCCTGACAACTTGAAATTAAAACTGATTTTTTTGGGGGGGCTGAAACTGCATTTTAGGACAAAAGTACTCTGATCTCATCTAGGCCTAATTACCTCTCTGATATTATTTATAAAACATGGGTTATTTAATAACTGGGTTATTTTCATTCTGGCAATCTTGGCAAAGGATGCACAGAACTTGTTTTAGGAAAAAAAAAAATCCTGATTTTTAGTTAGACTCTCATCTTGATTCAATCATTATAGAATGCTTAATTTGTTATTATTGGCCAAAAAACATGGAGTTAATCTTATTTATAACTCTGAATGTTGTCTCTTGGCAAGTGGTTTCTTTAGGGGCATTGGTCTTTGCAGACCATTGCTGTTGAGTGGAATAGGCAATGCAAGAGAAAGAATTTTTCCCAGTTCCTGAATCTGTCAAACTATGAACTGTTAAACAGAAAAATAGCTTAAGTAAGAAAAGTACAATTAGTAAGGTTTTAGCAGTATTGTTACTATTAATGCACATTTTAAATTAAAATTCTGTAGTAACTGATAGTAATTTGGATAAATATAGGAGTGGCACTTAATGCACTGTGAATCTATTTTTATAGTGCTTGACAAAAGTATGAAGTACTTACTGTAATCAATAATTACAAAACAGATTTCCATTTAAAAAGTTAAAGTAAGAATGCAGATTATATCATATTATCTCCAGATATTGCCAGTTTTATCTTAGTCTATACGCTTTCATTGTGCTGTACATTTTATAAGGTAAAAGAGAGGTGAAAACAAGCCATTTAACTCCCATAATTAGAAACATTAAATGGGTTTGTGGGGATACTTTATCTTAATTTTATAGTTCTAAAACTGTTGCATGAATCATTAGTATTCAGTGAATAGTTACAACTAAAAATTGACCAGCAAAAAAAATGAACTGAAGATACCTTGTTTTTTCATATATGCATTTTAGTTACTACTCAATTATTTTCTAGCTCCACAAAGAAAAAGATTCTGCAGCTTAAGAATGTATTTTTTAAACTAAAATCAATGTGTTTCAATGTGAAGAAAAAATATAATAAAAAGATGCTTTGCTTTCTCCACTGAAAATCAGAGAAAAATATCAATTTAACCTTGCTGAGTTTAGCTTTGCTGAGTTTATTTATGATGTGTTAATTAAGGCTTGAAATATTCAAAAATTAATTTCAGCATCATTTCAAAGACAAAACATTATGCTTCTAATCCTAAGAATAAGCTCCAGTAATACTTACTCCCATGTATGTTTGTCTAGGCTTAGGATAGAACTCCTATGTACATGCACATGAACATTTCATGGAAAAATGTAACATTCACTTTAGTTCATTTCAACATGAATTAAAGTGCCAACCTGAATTAAATTACAGCTATCTAGCTGGCATAACTTGATTTATTTTAGTTCTTTGCTGCTTTATGTTTTGAAGCCCTTCAAAACAAAAGGTTATCACTATTCAATAATCTCTCTTCCAATGACCTAGGATTGAAACAGATATATTTGTCCTATGGAATGTTTAGAACAGTGTTTAGTAAGTGTGAAATTTGACAAATTTGTATCAGACAGCTGCAATGCAAAAAAGCACACAAAGCTGTCTCTCAAATCTATGGTCACATTTAATGGCTCTTATGGAATTCAAATCCAATTTGGTTACAAATTTCACTTAACATCTATGCTGTTTTTGTTTTCAAATGGAGTTTCTTATTTTTCTGAAATCTTGCATTTGCTCAAGAAAATACAAAAAGGAATATGGCTACATGGGTAACAACATATCTTCAAAAAGTAAAATGTAAGAAATAAAAAATTATAAGTCAATCCTGTTTCAAGTTTTAAGAGTTCTCATTTCTGGTTCTTAGGTTAAGATCTGATGAGTTTAAAGCCTTGTCCTGTATCCAATACTGTAGGAAGAAACCAACTCATTTTTAATCGTTTTAAGCACCTAAAACAAAATTTGCAAATCCAGAAGAGATTAAGCCCACAGAACCAGCTTGCAAGATGAACCAATGGGTATGTGATGTGGGGAAAATACACCATCCAGTGCTTGGCAACATCATTTTCAGTTGGCAAATGTAAAGTGTAGTCACTCCATCCTTTTGACACTCCATACACAGCTTTCACAGTACGCCCCTTTTCAAACCAGCTGATATTGTGATTAGAATTACAATTGTATTCAACCCAATCTTGGGTGAAATCACCAAGATGGGGAGGGTCTGATTCTTCTATGTCTACTACTTTAGCCAATTCTGCTCCTTGCACTGCGATATACAAGTCACTGACTTTTCTGACTTCTTTAACCCAAGGCTGAGCATTCTCACAGTCTAAAACTATAATAAGCCGTGAACAAAAGGAGCCATTCTTGTCTCTCCACCAGTCTAAAAGCGTGTCAAGCTGTAATGAATCTCCACCTATGAGAGAGCCAGAAATGCAATAATTACCAAAAAGAACAATTCCTATTTTAATACCAGTCTCATGTTTGTCATGATTTTTTTAAATAACACTAAAAAATTAGCACGACCTGCAAGAATGTCCTCAACTTTGTTTTGTTCAGATCAAGTTCATTACAGAAATCCTATCCATGAAAAAATCACTACTGAAGCTCCATGAAGCCAATACATGGAGGAAAAAAATACTTCTGATAATAAATTAAAAATACACTATTGACTTCTTTGGAACGTAGAATCTAGAAGTTTGTCTTCTCCCATCTTTTTCTTAAAGCACTGGTCATACTTGGAACAATTAAAGTATGCTATTATCTGTCTGACAAAATGCTCTTAAAATGAAAATGAAAAGTATGTCTTAATGTTAACCATGAATTAATATTATTAGCCGACAAATGCACAGAAGATGAAAAACTAAATCAACCAGTCTTTGGACTATATATAGTGTCATGTGTGTATATGTGTGTGTGTGTGTGAATACACACATACACACACACACAAACATATTATTTGTATACACACACACATACATACACATTATACACACACACACACACACACACATATTATATACAATGTATATAATATATGGTATGCATTGAAATAATACAAGGCTCATGACTTTTGTATCTCCAATTCTGGATCTAAAGTGTGAAATACAACCAGAACAGTATAAAACATTTCTGCAATAATGGTTTCTTAAGTACAAGTTATTCATTCAGATTCAAATAACATATTGGACCAGAGTTAAGATACTTTAAGAAAAACAAGACCTGATTATATATAAATCAAAGTTATACATTCTGTTTATGAATCAGGACAGATATCAACATGCTTTGGAACTATCAGCTTTTGAAAAAAAAATGTTTTTCCTGAATCAACAGTCAATGCATCTAAATGGGGCAAAATAATCGCACCCCATGGGGCTTTCCTGTTTTTGTTAAGCAATTCCCATTATAACTCTAAAAGAAGCAACATGTTGTGTAATCAGAATTAACTAGAGCAGTTATGCAACCAAGGAAGTACCATTCAAGGAAGGAGTTTACTTTTAATTAGATGTGAAATTAGTTTTAAGACCTCTATAAATTCTTTTACAATGATATAAAAATGTTAAAATTCTTTGTTTTGAAAATTTTTGATCATTAAAATATTTGTTACACATTTCTAGAAAATACAATTAGAAAGTTAAGGAGTTCAGTCATTGTTTAACTTGCAATCAAATGATATCTCATGATTAGTAGAGTAATATTTTCACTGTGTCAAGACTGACTCGTAATACACCTCTACTTGCAACTTGACAACAGAAACAAAGAGTGGGGGGAGGGGAATGCTTGGAGTGTATTGGAAGCTATGAGGGAGGTGAGAAATTTATGTGAAACGTTTGCAGCCTAAGAAATTCCTGACACTTCAAGGCTGTGCAATGGTAACCTTCAGAAGGCACAGACTGTTTTCCCAAAGTAAAAAGAACATGTTGGATTGGTGGACAATGGGTGACCCAAATGGGGAAAAGGGGAAATTAACTATGCCTATGCCTGTATGGATCTATCAGTAAAGTTATACTCTTGGCAAAATAATGTCCCAGATTTTTTTTTTTGCTGCATATGCCAATGGGACAATTGACATTAAGCTAACTCTCCAACAATAGCCTACCTGGACCCCACTGGGAGGCCAACAACCCCAAGATGTCGGCAGAATCAGAGAAGAAGAAGTCGGGAGAAATCCCAGCCTGAGAGGCTCCGGCAACAATAAGTACGAGAGAGCAGGCGAGGGACACCCAATACTAAGTCCCAAGACTTTCTGGGTGACAAAAGTGGACAAGGCGGCAGATGCCAAAAAGCTTTTAGTCTCATTGGGAGTCAATGTGATCCAAGGGAGCAGGTGGAAAATGAGATGGCCAGTTGAGTGGGACGAGCCTACTAAGTGGAAGCTCCCAATTGCCACCTGTAGCCCATCGATGGAGCAGCTGAGGGAGAAGTTTGGCAGCTTGGAGATCTGGGCGGCCATGTAACCTAGGGCCACAGTGACAGTAACCAGGACAGGAGGACTGAAGTCGCCAGCAGTGTCGACTACACCACAGCTCCATCTCCTACAGCCAACTGCCCATCCCGACCGGCACGGCTGGGATCCTGGCAGCTGGACCTGCTACCCTATCCCCAGCATGGCAGCAAGTGGTTCTGGTGGCTCCAGCAGCAGCTGGAGTCTCTGCACTGGTGCTGGTGGCAGGGCTGCCACTGGGATATGTCTTGGTGCAAGAGAAGGGGTCTCCATCCCCCAATGGTCCGCTCTGATGGGGGCCCAGACAACCTGGCCCAAGTATGGCACCATACGGAGTGCTACGGAGAGATGTATACAGATGATGCAACCTGGGTTCATGTTGTATCTAACTTGGAAGAGAGCGCTTCGGGATGGCTGGTGTCCCTACACAATGAGAAGACTTCGGAGTTGAATGACCTGGATGCCTTCATGCAGAAGTGCAAGCGTGATTTGAAGACCCCATGGCAGCTTGACGGGCAAAAGCCCGCATCCTTACTGAAGCAAGGCAAGCGGCCAGTAATGGAGTACATCCAAGACTTCCGCAGCCTGGCTAGCTATCTGAGAGACTGGCCTCCCATCCCCCACCTCCAAGCTAGCTGAAGAAAAAAACAGACCCAAGAAGCCAAAGGAGAGAGGATGGAACTCTAAACCCCACCAGAGTGGGCCCAGTCTTCTACAAGAGTGACAGTGAAGGAGAAGACAAACTGACAGTAAGTGGCACCATCGTCCCCATGATGGCCAGGGTGGAGACTGTGGTGTCCTCAGGGTTAAAGGGGGTTCTAAAGGCCCTATTCGACTCGGGGTGCATGAGGTGTGTGATTAGCCCCCAGGTGGTAGAGAAACTAGGGAAGAAACTGAGAAAGCTGAGGCAGCCCATGGCATTTTCCCAGTTAGACGGCTCAATAATGGGCGGAGTGCCAAAGATCTGCCTGACTGAGCCAGTAAAGCTCAAAGCTGGGGCCCACATAGAGACTATTCACCTCATTGTAGTCCCCAGGATGACCAAGCTCATGGTCCTAGAGTTAACATGGTGAAAAAAGTGGAACCTGACTGTGAATTTGGACAGAGACAAATGGCAGGTGCAAAGGGAAGCTTCCAACCAGCAAGGGCTAGTGAAAGTATTAAGAGCCAGCCATGCGTGGGACTTCTGGTTTGCATCATAGTGATGCAGCAGAGGGGATGTGAGCTCCCACTTCCCATGGCTGATTTCGCTCTGCCAGGGGGCTCTAAAGGGATCTAAAGTTGCCCCGGAGAGGCGATGAAGAAGGAGGGGACCCTCGTTGATCACGGAAAGACGGCAATTGATCTGTTTGATCCGAGGAAAGCCCTCCAAACCAGCAGGGGAAAGACTGGCTACATTTCTGTGACTAGCCCAAGCTACTGACAACTGAAAAAAGAAAGCACTAATCAGCAGATCATAAACAGCGTGTTTGGAACTGGGTGAGAATACTGATTCTTTCTCTACTACTTTGATACTTGATTCCCTGGAAAAGACAAATTTACAAAAAGTAAGAAAGTCCCCAATGCGAGAAGGAAGGGGATTTTTGCCCCTCCTTCCAGAGGAACAAAAGTGGCAGCTTAATTCTTTTGGGGGGGGGGACAGAAACAGAGAAGTACATAATATTAAAGTGGAAGTAATATAAAGACATAGCTTTAACAAACTTGAGAACTGAGAAAACTGTTAAGATTTTTCTTTTTGAAAGAATATTGTGGTGAAGTTTAAGAAACTTTAAAGCTGAAACAATTCCTCGCTTGAAGTCAGGGGTCTTCAAACTTGGCCCTTTTATGACTTGTGGACTTCAACTCCCAGAATTCCTCAGCCAGACATGCCGGCTGAGGAATTCTGGGAATTGAAGTCTACAAGTCATAAAAGGGCCAGGTTTGAAGACCCCTGCTTTAAGTGCTAGAAAATGGATATCTAAGGACATCTAGTGGTGGAATAGAAGTACAGCACCAAATCTGTTGTGTCTCACAAAGTCCAGATACAGATAACTACTTAGCCTCTTTGATCTTCAGTGAAGCTCTTAGTTCAACAGAGAGCAGCTGGCAAAGGAGAAAAACATCCTGGGCTATTCTCTGCATGGTGGGAGTTACAACTGTTTTGAAACTTGCTGACCCTCTTGGATTACAAACATTAACTTTTGACTTTTTGCCTTTTTGTTACTTTTGCCTGGGAGAGACCTACGGATTAATCGTAGGGTGGTTGGACATTTTGGATTACAAACATCAGTTGAGTGATAATTTTTGGATTCCTGGACAGAAGAACTGTTACAAAATACTCCTTTTGGTGGTGGACCTATATTTTGGAACTTATTGGACTATAAGGGCTATATACAAAGACTATAACAACTATATGAGAATGATTTTAAATTTAAATTTAAGTAGTATATTGTTGTATTGACTATAAGATTGGGCATGTTAGATAAGGCCAGCACTTGGGGAATATAATAGAGGGTGGGAACAAAAATGAGTGCTCCACACCTAGCTAAAAGTGGTAAAAAACCATCCCCAGTATATGCCTCCGAAACCCCCAGCCTGGTATATCAGAGAGAAAAAGCTAACAACTTTCAGAAGGAAATGCAATCTATACTGCAATTAATTCAAGAGGCAATTGTTTCACACAAAGAAGATTCAAGAAGAAACTATGATGAGACTAAAGGCAATCTGGATAAGATAAATGAACAAGATTTTAACTTAAATTCAAAATTAGAAAACCTTCAGAAAATGACTATAAAGAATGAACAAGGAACTCAGAAAATAGAAGACAATTCAGAGGAAGCTGATCCAAAGAAGGATATAAAGGAAGAAAATCAAAGACTGGTGCAGACAAAGAAAAACATGGAAGACTCAGTGACAGTAATGGAAACGGAAAAGGCATCCTATCTCTCAAGATGACAGAATATATCTGAAGATAAGGAAGAAGACTTTATAGA